ATATAAGATGCATTTGGTTGAGTTACACTGCAGTAAAACACTTCATTGTAGGCCTACTACGGTGATTGTCTCTTCAGTGTGCAGCACAAACAACAATGGAGAATATTAATAACTATGACTGGGACTGGGTCATATACATAACATTATAATGAGAAGTTCACTATTATAATAAAATGCTGTGAATTTTTAGAGTTCGCTGCGGGATTACGAACATTGTGCGTAATTCTACACATTCCCACAGATTTTGCGATTATAAAGCGAGAAATTCCCGCAAACATTTATGCACTAAAGCATGTAGGTTGAATCCAAACAGATTATCAGAGCAGATCAGTCATTTTAAAACTTTCTGTGAGATGGAATTTCACAGTGTGAGTGATTGGGATTGAGTGGTACCTCGTCTTCTCCCACTCTCAAAATGCACAAATAGCCTCACATCCATAATATCCACATTGAGTTTGCTCTGCAAGCGAGCTGCACGTTACAATACAAGACTAGCGTGCGTTTCAGACAGTTGACAGAATTGTCACTCGCACGTCATTTTAAGTCGTCAATTTAAACATTCAAACTATTTTAACCCATAAAGCACTCGCACACTCTCTGAGACGGTCTTCAATGCACTCCCATCCAAAGCGCGCATAGCTGCCTCTCAAACAGCTCATGACTCTCAAGTGCCAGATTGAGTGATTATATACAGTGGGGCAAAAAAGTATTTAGTCAGCCACCAATTGTGCAAGTTCTCCCACTTAAAAAGATGAGAGAGGCCTGTAATTTTCATCATAGGTATACCTCAACTATGAGAGACAAAATGAGAAAAAAAATCCAGAAAATCACATTGTAGATGTGTGTTTATTGGTAAATTCCTCGGTAAAATAAGTATTTGGTCACCTACAAACAAGCAAGATTTCTGGCTCTCACAAACCTGTAACTTCTTCTTTAAGAGGCTCCTCTGTCCTCCACTCGTTACCTGTATTAATGGCATCTGTTTGAACTCGTTATCAGTATAAAAGACACCTGTCCACAACCTCAAACAGGCACACTCCAAACTCCACCATGGCCAAGACCAAAGAGCTGTCAAAGGACACCAGAAACAAAATTGCAGACCTGCACCAGGCTGGGAAGACTAAATCTGCAATAGGTAAGCAGCTTGGTGTGAAATGGTGGCTGACTAAATACTTTTTTCCCCACTGTACATATAGATTTATAGATTTTTTTCAAAATATTAAATAATATATTACAAATATTTAATTTATAATATTACAAAAAAAATTATATTGTATATAAAGATAATGATTCTGAGAAAAATTTAATTAAAGGGTACATTTGTGCTGAGAATATAGTGATCATCTCGAATAAAGTTCAAATTGGAAATGTTAGGTTATATGCCATCCTGTTTCACAAGCATCAGTGAATTATGACCTTTCCTCCCCTCTAAGAGACATTGAGTACGCTTACATGGACATCAGTAATCTAATTATTTATCTTATTCTGAATAAGACAATATTATGATTAAGGTTTTTACATGAGTTGCTTTTAGAATATTCCTTTCATGTTCCCGTTTTACACGTTATAGTACATAAATCGATTAATGGCGCATGTCATTATGTTCCCACACGACGCCATCCGACGTTCTCTCCTAAATTTCACGTATCAACATACAGTTTGTCTTCAGCACCATATACAGTTTAGGGTGTTTCATTTTTAATTTTACGAAAGCTTCAAGTGCAGTTAATTATTTGCCATGCTATACGCAAGACGATGACGGATAAAAATGTGCCTTCTTGAAGTCCTGCTCTTTTGTTTGCCGACAAATGGTTGACCACTGACGTGTGTGTATCCTGTCGCAAAAAGTCCTACACAACAGTGATAGTATGATTAAGGTGTGTACATGTTTATACTGCACTTCAATAATGAGACTAAAATAGGAATACTCCACATGTCTTAATTCGATTTCTGTTTACTTAGAGTATGACTTTAGCCGGATTAAGGTAAATAAAAATCTCTGTTTACATTGTAGATTCTTAGAGTATTGTCTTAATCGTGTTAATATTGGATTGTTGTTGTCCATGTAAACGTACTCTTTACCCCTCTTCCACACTCTTAAAAATAAAGGTGCTTCACGATGCCATAGAAGAACCATTTTTGGTTCCACAAAGAACCATTTAGTCAAAGGTTCTTTAAAGAACCATCTCTTTCTTACCTTTTTGTAATCTGAAAAAAAATTTTTTTTCAGATTACAAAAAGGTAAGAAAGAGATGGTTCTTTAAAGAACCTTTGACTAAATGGTTCTTTGTGGAACCAAAAATGGTTCTTCTATGGCATCGCTTGAAGAACCTTTTGAAGCACCTTTATTTTTAAGAGTGCACCAAGGCAGTTTGAGTGCTGGTTTAGAGCCAGAGCCTAGTTTCAAATCGTTTCTTTGTCTTTCGACACCCAAAGCACCAGCTCCGAACCAGGAAAAGTGGTTCGTAAATAGAACCAAAACATTGCTGTTCTAGAAGTAAGAACCGCTTGCGTCAGGGGCTGGGGACGAGGTTACCGTGATCAACAAGATGAACAGAATTTTTGACTGCCATTTTTGAAATAGCAGCTAAACACGTACACGTTGAATTCACCATGTTTGGATGCCGATGAAGATTCGCAAAGCCATGAACATCAATAGCAATGCAACGTCCACCATTGTTGATTGTGTGTTTAGGCTTGTTCAGGCTGCGTGGACCGGTTGGTGTGCCGCAGGCGTGATTGTAAAGCAGACGACTCTCTTTATGCTTTTGGATCGCTTTTGCGGTAATTTGGTGTCGTGCACCGATCGGTCTGCATGGTGCCGATGCATCTCGAACAAGCCTGTTGTGTTTGGCGCTGTCGCGCTAGTGTTACTGGGAAAGATGAGACATATTCAGTGACGTAAGACCTGGCTCTATGGTGGCTCTATAGTCCGTGGAAAGGCAAACCGGTTCTTAGAAGGCTCGCCAGTTGAACCAACTCCGAACCGGCAATAGCACTGGCTCTGAACTAACACCCGGTTCATGCTGGTGGAAAAAGTGTAATTGAGGAAACCACAAGCACTTTTCAACAATTAAACAGGTAGACACGTTTTAAGTCAGAGAATGTTGAACTGAGTTTGTAATACATTTGACACCGAAACACTTCATAGGAAGCTCTGTTCTACCCAATATCTACTCTAGCACAAATTTATGCCTTTTTCCTTCAGGCGTCCTTGTTTGACTGGCCACTAAAAAACACCAGCAAAATACTGCTATCCTAAATACGTTTTCACTTTGACAGCTGCCATCTGTCATCTTTATCCAAGCAGTGTGTCGGGTATAATCCACACAGTTTGACATGCAGGACATTCAAGATGTTCATGGTTGTATAGTAAAGCCAGATGGATGGCTTTACGAAGTCTAAGAAATATTAGTTTCCTCTTTTTATTCATATGGATTTTTTACTCTAAACAGGTTTCCAATTACAATTTGAACTCAAGCGGACAATAATTACTGTGACCTTTGACAGCATCTTGGAAACCACAATTTCAACCACACAAAACCGCTATTTCATTAAATCACTGAATAGTTTAAGTTATGCCAAGCTAACATTGCCCTCTGAAACCATATTCCATCTTTTCTAGATATGAATAGTTTCTTTTATATAAAAATGAGTTAATATAATAATAATTAATAATGATGATGATAATAATAATAATAATACATTTGATTTAAATAAATATCTAAAATATATAAACAATATACACACACACACACACACACACATGTTTTTGTTTGCATTTAAAGTGGACTGAATGTGTCCCAACTCATAAATATAAAGTGTTATTTAACATTTAAATAAATTTTTTTTAATGAGTTGGGAATGCTAGTTGCGTTAACACTTTTCTTTTTTGGCAACACTCCACTTTAAATGCAAAAAAAAAATTTCAATGTAATGTGTGCATATATAGTTTATATATTTAAGAAATTTATTTTAAAATGTTTATAATAGTTATCATTATTACTATAATTTTTTTATTATTATTACTCTATGAATATCTAAAAATACAAACTATATATACTCATACATATGTTTTGTTTGCATTTAAAGTGGACTGAATGTGTTGCCAACTCAAAAATTAAAAAATAAATAAATAAATTTTACTCAGCACAGTAATGCAAAACATCAACATCAGCTAAACAAAGAATTTCAAAGAATCTTCTCCAGAGAAAACTACCACCAACACCTCACCACAGTACAAACCTGTTTTTTCGGAAAGCCTCAGGTCATTCTGGTGTTTACATACACAAGGCAATTCACTTTTAACAAAGTAACAAGTAAGTGTTGACAGCGACCTGTTTTGCCTCGACTGAGCTGCTATTCACACCCAAAGAACACAGTGACTTCTCACACCAAACCTTTTGCATGTATGGAGGTGCCCCCTTAAGAACGTCATAAGTGATAGCCTACTTATTAGACATGACAGGGAATGGCAGCATGGTTTATAAAAACACCCTATTCATAGCAGCTAAATGGGGAAACACCTTTCCTCCAAAGACTTTTAAACACTTACTGGAAATGTGAAATGCAATTTAATTTGGTTGAGACCCTTTATCAGTAAAACGAGGACAAAAATGAACTTTGATACAGTCTGTAGGGCAATATTTGTGTGATGGGATAAACTAGCCATCAATGTTTGATGAGTGAATTTGCAGAGCACAAATGTTGGTAGCCTGCCACCGGTTTTATAGGCCAATTTGTGCATCTCCCATCCATTCCACAGGGAGCTATTAGAGCAAATGAAACTAATTTTACTAAAAACATTTTCCACCACACTTCCTAAAGCAGCTCACATCCTCCATAATTACAATAGAGCATTGCTTTATTAATCCCAGACAGCCAACGATGAAGCAGAAATTAAACTGACAAGAACCTAAACAATGCATTTCAACAATATATTTAAGGATGCAACAGTTGCTTGTATCAGGAAAACGAATCCATGAAGCCTGTGTGCGTACGTACCGGTGGACTTCCATTTTTGAAGACAGGGTGCATCTTTCATTCAGTATGAAGCCGGACACCTTGCATTGTGTTGCAGACTGGAGCTGCATGGCTTCCCCCGGCTCCGACGCTGAGGATTCGATCCCGATCACACTCGCCTATTCATCGCGTTCCCCCTATTCTGAATGCATCGGTGATTCATTATTTAGAGATGGGCGCAAGTCAGCGGTGCTTCTCCATGCTGCTTGCGTACACAATCCCGCTTTTCACAGTGCTGGACGGTAACCTGGCAACAGGCATTTGAGTGCTCACAGTTGTTAAAGGAGATCACGTTTGGGAAGATGAAATTGCTACGCGGTGTTAATACTGCTCAACTGAGCAGGCTTTTTCCCGCCCTGCCTCTCTCTCTTTCTCTCTCTCCCCCTCGCTCTGGTCTTTCCTACCCCCACCCTCCTCTCTTTATTCTGTGCTGTTCCGTTTCAATAGTGATTTATCTTTGCTGGCTACGCTTTGTTTTGAAGCAGCATGTGCATGCAGGCATCTGTGCAGAATGAGGTAAACATTATTTCAAATGGAGGACACGCAGAACCCTAAATATTTAATGATTGAGAAGTAGCTTTGAGGTAATAAAAAAAAGAAAGAAAACTCTTATTTTTGGCCTTATGTGACCTCTCAGGTCACAAATGTACTTTAAAGGGGTCATATGACGTTGCTGAAAAAGGACATTATTTGGTGTATTTGGTGTAATGCAATGTTTATGCGGTTTAAGGTTCAAAAAACACATTTTCCACACACTGTACATTATTGTTTCTCCTCTATGCCCCGCCTTTCTGAAACACGTCGATTTTTACAAAGCTCATCGGTCTGAAAAGCGAGGTGTGCTCTGATTGGCCAGCTATCCAGTGCGTTGTGATTGGCCGAATACCTCAAGCCACGACGAAACACACAGCGTCTCCAAGACATGGCGGCAGTAACAATACAACAGCGAGAATCAAAGTTATGCCTTCTTTCTTTGCGTGAACATTTGGGCGGCATTATGCAAATCTTCCCACATCATGACGTAGGTATGTGGGGGCGTGTTAGAACGAGCCGTTTTAGGTAGGCGTGGTTGACTCTTTTATAAAGAACATCTCTTTGGATTTGAGACTTTAGTCTTTGCAACTTTAGTCTTTATGCACCAAGAGCTTGTAACACTCCAAAGAGAAAGGAAAAATTGAAAATCGCATCATATGACCCCTTTAAGTACTTATGTAAAATGTGAGCGCTTGGATGGGAACAGACCTCAGTACTGAAGGGGGCACTGGAGTTACCTTCAGATGTCGTGCCGTTAAACCAGATGTGTTAGAATTCAATTAAGTTACAATACTGAGTTTTTATTTTCAAAGTGTCTAGGGCTGGACGATATGCTTGAAATTAATATCAATACTAATCACAATATTTTATACCAGGAAATGTATTGCACATTGTTAGACCTCAAGAATAACTACTAAATAATAAAGCAATCTTTTAATTTACGGCGCCATGACATCAGTTTTATTTTTTCCCAAATTTTGTGTTTTCTATTTTATTTTTTTCTGGATTTTTTTAATTATTATTATTATTATTATTATTATGAGATGTACACTTTTATGTGTAAACATCTCTGTCATCTTCTCATCATCTTTTAAGTTAAACCAAACTTTTATTTTGTCATGAAGATCTTTGAGTTTGACAGCAGCATACTTTTCAGCAACTTGCACGATCATCTAAATGCAGGCCAAATATAGATAATTACTCAAAAGTTTATTAGCGATAATTAATTTTTTCAATAAATATTGATTTATCTCCCAGTACTAGTAGCTCTGCCATTACAGTAGCTGACCTAAAAGAGTAAACTTAACATAGAAAAAGACAGTTTATGTTACTATGAAATATAGCGCCCCTCATTTGATACCTTTTGTTAGACAACACACAAAACTGAGCTTTTAAAGTGGACTGAATGTGTTGCCAACTCAAAAATTTAAAAATAAATAAATAAATAGACCCCTGATTCCTGAACAGTAAAATAAAACTGGAGAAAACATGTGACAGATGCACTCTGAGATCATGTGGTTTGGTGTATGGCACAGACCTGTGGTTTGCGATTGCCTGGTCTGTCTCCACAGGGACAGATGGGTGTGAGTGACAGGCCAGGTGTAGAATAAGGGTCTTGTCATTTTTGAGGGTGGGGCTGACTGCACAGACGCCTGATCATAATGCACGGTCACACTCCAAGTGTCCAGTCTGTAAACTCTGCAATTAATCACTCAGGCGCTGACGCTAGGACAGCGCCGGTCAGGGACCCACCCCAATCAACCATCACTGACAGGGACGAGCTGACAGCAAGAGTAATCGATATGACTTTGGTGCTTCTCAGCAGGGCTGTCAAAATATCAAACTTTCAGTAGCCAATACCAATTGCAATACCACAGCTAATATGCTAATATACAGTATAATACTAACATAATAATAATAATAATAATCCAATATTAATAAAAAATAAACTATTTAAATAAATTATTATTACTATTATTATTATTATATAACAAATAGTGTATTTTTATTATATAATAGCATATTGTCTGTGGTGTTGAAATAATAAAAATGTTTATTACTAAAAATCATTTAATTTATTATTACCATTGTTATTATTTTTTATTAATACTATTACTAAAGTTTTACTGTCATTATTATTATAAATCAGCCTTTTTATTAATTATTACTGTTATAATAATAATAAACTACAGCAACAATAATACACTTGTATAATAATAATCATCATCATCATCATCATCATCATCGTACTTTATTTTATTACAATATTGACAGTGGTGTTTAAATATTAAAATAACAGTACTAATAATTAACTAATTTAATATTAAAATATTTTTTATTATTACTTTATTACTATTACTCTTGTTATTTTTTGTTACTACTAATATTAATAAGTATTATTACTATTATTAATATTAGTAGTGGTTGTAGTAGTAGTAGTATGACTATTATTAAATAGTACATTAGTACTATATCCTACAATATTTGAAGTGTTGTTGAAATATTATAATGTGAATAATTATATAAATACTAACAAATCAAACAAAATTCAAACAAATGGCATGTATTTCAAGCATCTCAGCTGCATTTACACGGTAAGGACTAATAATGCATCTCTAATAATGCACCTTACTGCTCAACTTCATATATAGTATATTTTGTATATAGAATACAAAATTACTATCTGGTGTATACTGCCTCAACACTATGAAAGCAGTTGCTGAAAGCAGGTAATGCTCACTCTCATTTTCCATTTCATTGATGGAAAATGCACAAATATTTTCAGACCAATGAATGTTATTGCACTCAAGCAAACGTGCAAGTCAAGCACACTCACAACAGACTCTCACGTTTAGAGAGCAGCGCAATTATGCAGGAATAAATTAGCTACTATGGCTCTGAGAGCAGTAGGCCAACATGCTACCGACTACAACAGCTAACGTAGACCTTTGGAGTCTCACGTAGACAGCAGTTGGCATGCAACATCCCAGATTTGTCAGGCACTGAGAGAGCCACCTGCAAGCACCAGGTTCCAGCGAGTGGGTGGTGCAGTCGGGTCAGGCTGAGAGTGTAAAACCTTGAGCCCAGCATCGGTGGAACACATGGTGCATGGGAGGATGCATGCAACACCTCTGCTTATAAACCACATGTCCGCAGGAGGCCTGGCACTGCCGCTTCAAGCTTTATGCCTCTGCAGGCGGTGGCAAAACAGTCATAGAGCCAGTCTGGGCTTGTCCCTTTCTGAAAAATACTTTTGACACTATATGAGTGTCCTCTTTTCTCCAAAGAAAGTCATAGTGGTTAATCAGATAAGTGCATAGAAGGTTTGTTAATTCTAGAACTTCATTACTTAAAGATGGACACTTAAAATAAGGCTCCAAAATAATAATGTGTTCGTTTTACCTGAAAGTATGAGCGCTATTGTGTTATTTGGGATGTAAATATTTGCCAAGTCAATGACTAGATTCAATTACTTTACTATATTATAATACAACAATATGACCATGAGACTTGGTCAGCTTGATTCCAACTAAATCGATACTTTTAGAGCAATTCATTAATACTGTGCCAATAAAAAATAAACAAAAATAATAAATAAATTAGTTAATTAATAAAAAAAAAAAAACATTGGAAATCTGGATTGAGTAAAATTTTATTTAAAAAAAATAAAATAATAAATATAAAAAATACATTGGGTATTAATGTACTAATTAAAAATTTATATTATGAATCAATGCATTTAAAACTGTGATCCAAATTTTTAGCCGTTCAAATCTGAAATGCAAAACCATGTGAATGCCTTTACCTTTACATATGCAAGCACTCTATTCTGCCCCTAGCAACAACCTCGCAGCATGCAGCTATATTCTAATACATGTGACAGCAGAGAAAGACAGACAGACAGACTGACTGACTGCTAGGGTCTGGCTCCAAGGAGCACTCAAACCATCTCAATGTCACATGAAAGAATCTTTACACAATGCTACAAAAGGCATCAAGCATTCATTTATTCTTGTAGCTTATTCATGGTTTTGATGTCATGATTGCTTTACACAAGACTTTTTTTTTATTTGAGTTATAACTTATATTTCAATGAACTCAATTCAACAGTATAACCCCCTAGCAGTAGAAAGACCATGAGTCATCTCAAGTAGTGAGGATACGACTCATCCACCCTTAGACTAAACAGAGCTCAGAATAGTGCTGACAGCAGAATGTCCTCACACCAGCACTTACAGGGAAAAGCTTGCGAAAGGTTAAGAGCTCACCAACAGATTACCATATATGATCACTACTAACCAGCATGATAGAGAGTCAAGATGTCATACTGATTCATCATTACTTTGTGCATAGTTTCACTAAAGAAGAGAATCATGAGGTTTTTAACAAATCTGGTTTCAATTTCAGCTTGCATCCAGAATTTTAAGTAGAACTGGTTCTGAATAATAATGGTTCTTAATTTTCACTTTCACTTCAAAAACAAGAGGATGAATGAATACTGTGCCCTTCAAATGTGCAAAAAGAACAGCAGAAGGCCACAGGGCTCTTGTGTTCTCTGCACTCTCAGAAGCAGACAGACAGAAAAATCCCCAGATCAGTACCACACATCATCCTCAGAATGACAAATGGAGGGAAGTAATGCGGCACTAAACACATTCACTCGTTCTTCCCCAAACACACAGGTTTTACCTTGTGTACAGAGCCACGGCATCTGCGACTTAATGGCAAAAATATGAGAGGTCACGAGTTGCGATGTTAACCTTACAGACGATTGCACCGGGATGCCAGCTATGCCGAGGG